TATAATACTAAAAACTTGCAAAGATTTTGTTTACTTTTTACTATTGTCAATGATTTTCAGGGGTGAACTGGAAAGAGAAGATATAGTTTTTGATTGCTATTGTATTTAATAAGAAATATACACTATTTTATTATGCTGCTTTATATAATATCAAGTTTGGCTACTTACATCATTTGGAAGTTCAGATAACTGAGTTAAAAAATTTAAATGTTAAGTAAAGCTTTACAATAGAGATATACAAATATCATATTTGTTATATAATTTTTTCAGCCTAGTATGGGTAATAGTAGTGCTAAAAGACAGAATTTTTTACTATTTTTTTTGTTTTCTTTTTTTTGTCATTTTCTTTTTTATATTCTCTTTTGTATTTGTATTTGTTTTTTTATTTTTTTTGTTTTTTGTTTTTTTCTTTTTTCATTATATTCATTTTCTTTTTGGTTTTTTTGTTTTCTCTATTTTTTTTTCTCTTTTAAAAAAAAAAAATATTAAGAAAAAGACAATTTTCACAAGCTAGCAATAAGCTTTTAGTAATTTTTTTGAAAAGTTATCTAACAAGTTAGATGTGGAGATGAGTGAATTATTGCTGTGGCAGATCACACCTAGGCACTATTATGAGAGTCTTTATTGTAAAAATAGAAAAGTTAAAGGTATTTAGTTAATTGCAGGCTTTTTGTTTGAACACTTTGTATACTTGTTTATACTTTATTTTTAGTGACAATAAAGATAGGAATGCCAAATTTAAAAAAAAAATAAATTTATACAAAAATAAAAGCTTTAGTTTAGCAATATATTACTAAATAATCAATATATAATATCTAATTGTACAAATATTAATAACTTTTTTTCTCTAACCAAATTTTATTTCTTAAACTATAAACAATTTCAGACAAATTTGTTTAGAAAATTGCTATAAATTTGTTTATGATTTACTTTTTTTAAAATTTAAAATAATTAAATAAAATTTTTTTTGATAATATTTAAAAATAAAGATTATATTATAGTAGTATTTAATTTTATATTATAAAAAAAAAAGTTTAGATTGCTTATAAGCCAAAAATAGACAAATTTAAAAAAAAAATTTAATTAAAAAAATAATTTACAAATTCTTGACAAACTCTTTAAATATTAATTTTAAGCCTATAGTTCTTAATACAATATTGTAGTTTATATAAAGGATAGCAACAGTGTTTATTTTTTACTGTGTGTGTATGTGTGTGCACTATGCGGATCCAATCAAATTGCTTTATTTCAAAATTTAATTGGACCTGCATAGTGTGCGCATATACGCACACTGTGAAAAATAAACACTATATAGCAACTTTCATTATTACATCTTTAGTGATTTATTTATAAAAATTATAACTTGTATTAGAAGTAAAAATTTTTTTAAAAACAAAAATATATAAAAATTTAAAAAATTTAAAGAAAAATTTAATAGTAAAAATTTTTAAAGTAAGAGCTTTAAACTTATTACTCTAAAGATGTCTAGTAAAATTAAAAAAATTTCATAATAAAGCTTATAGAATATGTTTTAAATAAAATATTGTATATATAAATTATACCTCATATTATTAATAATTTTTAATTTTATTTAAAAAATTGTAAATACTTGGCAAATTTGTCTGGAATACAGTTTAAGAGATAATATATTAATTCCAATATTCTCTATACACAATTTCAAATCTTATATACAACAACAAATATTTACTTACATGAAATGAATATACTATTTTATAACTTATTACTATTTTTTATCAATTATATATTGTCTAATGAGGTCTTTTGATATTCCTTAGTATTAAGAGTAAATTAGCTCTAACCCACCTCATAGTTAGTTTAGAGAAATATATTATATTATTTAATAGATATTAATATATTTTGACTTAACATTTTTACTTAAAACACCTAGCATTAATTACTTAGCTAGCTTTTGAGATATAGAAACTTTGTCTTGAAAATCACATTATAGAACATGGTAAATCATAAGTTTCATAACATGATTTCAAGGCAAAGACCCCATATCGATATAACGATTGTGATGTTGAACACCACTGGTGTAATTTAGTAAAATTGGATGAAATATTTACAAAATAAACAATAAACTATTTAAATATAATTTCTATAATTATTATACTTTACACTTTTTTGTATCCCAAGTGCGTAACTATATATACTGTTATGTAAATTATATAAATATACATTATTTTTGGTTTATATCAAAATCAAAAAACCTTTAGCCGCTTTTGTTAAATATTAAAACAATGAGATTACTTGTACAGTATTAACGTTAAACTTACAAATTTGTAATTTTGGGGGATTTGGAGATAGCAAATTAATTGCCTGGGTAACTTATTTATACACTTTAAAGTACTTTCTGAGAATGTAATAATTCAATAATAGAAATTTACCGTAAAAACCATCACTAGTTTTTAACGAACGTTAACATTTATTATACAAAATAATCAACCTCTAGGACAAACTTTACTTAGAAGACAAAATATAAATATAATATTTCATAAAATTATCAACTCATCAAAAAATAAAAAAAGACGATTATTTAATGATCAAATGTAAATTTTAAGGGTTTAAAAAACTCATCATTATTTATAATAATATCATTGTAAAAGATGTATGATATTAATAAACTTAATACTTATACGATTAGTTTACTTGATTAGTAATGTAAACCAAAAGTAGAAATACAAAGCTTCGCCAGTAATAAATCGATATGTAGAGGTCCAAGGTCCAATCCGTCATCCGTTTATCCGTATTTGATTATCCAGATCATTCAAATCTCTCAAATATCAGGATAATTCGACAGGTATTCGGATAATTATCCGGATATCAATAGTAGAACGGATATGCGAATAAATTCAGATCCGGATATTCGATGGGTAAACGGATAACGGATAGGAATTATAATCTTGGTAAATAGTCTAGAAAATGCCATTCCCATGAATTTGAAATACCCTAATTTTTACGTAAAAGTCCCGATGAACCAGATTTTTTTCATGAATAGCATCTAATCCAAAAGCAATAAAAAATCTTGCTACGTACAGTACAGTAGTGTCACGATAGATAGATCATTTTTTTTGTGATGGATATGGAACTGATTTTTAGTGTGTACTATCGCAATACCAGGATTTAAAGAAAAGATATAGACAATTGTGTAGATCAAAACTACATCGATATACTTTGTTTTGATTTATTAAAATGGCGAGCAATAATTGGTTTATGCAGAGAACAACTACTACCCCAGATCTCACGGAGGAAAAGTCCTATTTTCGGTCATGATTGTGATCATTTCTTACCTTTTTTGTAACGTTTTTGTCAAGCCCACTTAACATATTGTCACGGTTGTCAAGAGTAGCCGGGATCACATTGTCGATTTTTGTCGATTGTGGTCACATATCATTACAAGAAATCATACTTTTGGATATATTAACCGTTATTTTAATTTGTCTATCGCTATCCTCAATTCCTTAATTCCTTAATTGGTGTGTTTTCTTGATAGAATACCGTGGGAATTCATAACGTGGAGGAATGATGTCCTTTTTCGTCATTTTTAAAAATCCGATTATTTATATAAATAATTAATAAAAACCTCCTTTATTTTTTTTTTTATTGTTGATTCAAAACATCACGCAGATTACGTTTCTTCAACGATACTGCGGTTATAATGAATAAAATGTTTCTTCGTCCTTGATGATAAAAAATTATGATATTTTTGATTATTAAGCTTAATGAACGTTTATTAAATAACCCTTAATTTCATAATCATTCGTCTTGTTCGTTTTATAAAAAGAAAAAAAATCGACTTATCTTTGTCGCGTTATAATCATCAAATAATCATTAAATAATGCCGGTACTTTCTTCATTGGCTTTATCTTGTGCCTTTTGTTTTATTTCTGGCTCTTTAATCATTTGGCAAAGCTATTTAGAGGTAATGAAATTTATCATCTTTCTATACTGTAAATATAAATATCTTTAATGTTTTATTAATGAGTCATTAAAATATAGCAAAAACAAAGAAAACTAGCCACTCCACCGTTGATGAATCGTATCAAAAATCTTACGGATAAAAATATTGAAAAATTGAAAGGTGGGGGATCGAGTTCTTTTTATTATTATTATTATTATTATTATTATTATTATTATTATTATTATTATTATTATTATTAACATTTTTTTAATAATCAAATTGTTATTTTTTAAAGCTGTTCTGGTGAAAGATGTTCGTTCGCTTGGCACAATACCGATTAACCATAATGTCGTTACTCCCATCTCCAAAAAATCTAGTGAGTTTGATTGATCTTCTTGTTTATCTTATTTTTCTTTTTCTCCTTTCTTATGCTTATGCATTATTTAATCTTTAGACATCATATCATCATCATATCCTCAACGAATACCACATAATCCTCCTTCACATTCATCTATGGCATTGTCATGTCCAGCATTCCTGTCTATCACTTTACATGCCCCTAACTTTAGCACAAAGAAGTCTAAACGAATCGATCTATCAACTACTGACAAGATCGATTCTTCATCTTCAGATTGTTTCGCGTTTACTCAGGATCTATTTGCTCTATGTGAATATTTTAATAGTTCTCCAAGTTTAATGTCTTTTTTATTTTGTTTTTTCTTCTTGGGATATGGTTATTATATGTACAAAGTGATTTCTGCATTGGCAAGTTTGAATTCTATGTTTCAATCATTTCATACCTAGTGTCACAAATCGCGTATATACAATTTAGGACAGGGTTGTTGATTGGGATTTCGGATTTTTCGTTGAATTAATTAAATCACTAGAACAAAATATAGCCTATTCAAATATCTTTTGGGTTCAGGATGGGAATGGGCGCAATAATACTTAGTTTATGATTTAGAATTAAATTTGTTAATCATTTGTAATCGATCTATAAAAAAATTAATGTTCTAGAGTGCTAAATTTAAATATACGATATTAAAATGATTTCTATACTGTATTAAATTGTAGGGGAATTTACAAATAAGGGCCCGGAAAGTGAAAATAATTACAAATACGGGCCCAAATTAAAAATAATTACAATCTATTGATGCTGAAAAAAAATGTGATCATGGGCTTATAACGATAGCAAAATCGCGATTATAGAATTATCGTTTGTTTTATTACAAACATTTAGAATTATCCTATATGCTGCTAGGTATAATCATTTTCGCTTAAATATTGCATAAAAATAGCGTTAAACTAGCATAATTATTAAGGCGAAGTTTCAGCAGAATAGCTCTTTAAAGCTGAACGAACATCTTCCATATTAGTAAATGTCATGCCAATTCGCAATGTTTTACTTGGCATAATAACAATATGCAATTTCATACAAAGAAAATGAAATTTATTAAATTTAAAAAATTTGATCATTCCATTTTCTATGCGATGCTTACGTTTCTTATACAAATAACAATCAAGCCACAGGCGTGAATAGCGTCGCGGTTATTTTGGGCCCTTATGTAATATTTTTTAAAAATTAGGCCATTATATGTGATTATTTTAAATTTGGGCCCGTAATTATTTTCACTTTCCGGGCCCTTATTTGTAAATTCCTTAAATTGTAATTTCTTGATATAAATAAATATCACGAATAAGCTAAAATCAGAAAGAGCTGAAAGTTGGATTTCTACTATACCCTTTAATTAAAATCTTTAGATTATAATCAATTCGAAATATCTCTAATTATGTCAGTTTTATCATTCAATTTCGGACTTATATCAAGAACGCATCCATCCCAAATAATAAATATCAACTGTATTTAAGAGTAAATACGTTCTTGATAAGGGTGTCTGAAATTGATTGACAAATCGATAATGCACCATTCTCAATAGGAAAAGAATTTGTCTAATTAATAACCAATCAGATTCTTCGAATTCATTAAAAAAGGTGCTTAAGAGTGTTTAAAGATGACAATTGTTTATAATTACATGTATAAAATCTGTTTAATACATAAAATCTTTCTAATATTTAGATATAATTTTGTTTGTTTATGAATATAAACTGTTTATATAGTTTTATATAGTATATATACGGTCATCCTCGGAATTCAAGATGCTCATTCCTAGTATAATATACAGTAAAAGTATTAGTGCTAGAATACATAGCAAATTTATTAAAATTTTGTATAGAAAGAAACCCGATTATTTATAATTTTCTACTTATATTTACAAATCGTGCCCCTAAAATTAGCAAGATATATAAGGGTTTCAACTAATAATTAGATATAGCTTGCGTTTAGATGAAATTTTATTGTTGTCTCAATATAACGCCCATGTGTGTATTCTAAATAACGTACATATACTCAAAATGACGCGTAGGTGGGCATTTTTTCGCGAAAATACAGTAGATCAAATTTTAGGGAAGACTGACTACAAAATTTGTTAAAGCAATCTCATCTGTTTCCTTCAAAAACTTATATTCTTGAATTGGTTCATGTATGAAGAAAAACTGGCCTAGAACATCAGTCCCAACAAGAGAGTTGTCTCCAAGTGTATTATGACCGTGATAAGGAGGGTCGTTTCTGGCGCACCTGAACCTTTCGGTGCTCTTGAGGTCTTCTGTCTTTTCGGAGATGGATATACTGTATCATTGGCTGATCGTTTATCAATAGGTATCTGTCTATGCTGACGGATTTCTTAAGGCAGATTCGTCAGCCAAGTAAAAGAAAACCGTGTCTCTGACGCAATCCTCCATCGCTATGCTTATTATGCTTATTACTACCGCTATGCTCATTATGCTCATTACTATCACTATGCTCATTATGCTCGTTACTATCACTATGCTCGTTATGCTCATTACTATCGCTATACTCATTGTGCTCATTACTATCGCTATGCTCATTATGCTCGTTATGCTCGTTAGGCTCGTTATGTTCGTTAGGCTCGTTAGACTCGTTAGGCTCATTGGGCTCGTTATGATCGGTAGTACTTGTGGCAATAGGTGTAGTAGGAGTGGCAGCCACTGGAGAACTAAAGGTGTTAGTTAGAATGATAAAAAACACTACCATATATATTATTTGTACGTTATTCTAAGAAAGTTTCAGCCTTACCTAGAAATTTCTGTACTTGTTCTGGTTCTGTTTTATATTTGCGAAGGGACTCAACCGTCTCAGATTAGAAATTTCAGTTGTAGTAGGATTTAGCGCCTCGGGCGTGTTTATTGAGAATAAAATTGTTCATTTAATGACTCTGAAATGTTTGACAAAAACACGATCTCTCTTTCTTATGAACTTCAGAAATTTGGGTATTTTAAATATCTTCTTTCCTATAGACAAAAGTCAATAACTGTGAAAAAACTGTATAGAACTAATGCAGTTGCTATACTAACTTTTCTCTTCGTTAAGTTTCGAATTAATTGTTGCAGGAGCAATGGACATATCGGCGAATTTTAGTTGGTAAATAAAAACAGAATTGGGAAAAACTTTTTTATGAAGTCACACATTGATTAGCTAATTATTTTACTGTATAGCTCTTTGCAAAAAGATGTGACTCTATGATTTTTGTGATGATGAACGAGGAAAATTTTTTCATATTTTCGATCAGTCATATTTATATTTATTTGAAATTGGTAAGATTCTTAATACGACATTGTGATCTGCAGAAGTCACATCTTTTTACAAAACGCGATAATTATTTGAATTCATGTGCCATCAAGAATTTATTTAATGCAACAGCGATTTAGAAAATTAAAGTTAAAAATTTTCCGATACTATACGCACATGATTAAAAAATAAAACCCTAAATAAGTTAAAAAGACTAACATTTCGGCCATTTTTATGAACCATGGTTTCATGTGTCGTTCTGACCCTTCCCAAATTTGAAAAAATGAAGTTCATAAATAACAAATAACGATAATGGTATTTTTGCTGGTGGATTCGGATAAATTAGTATCTAACCTTGGACGTGTCAAGAACAATAAAGGTGCGATTTTAAAAGGAAATATTTGTAAAAGTAATTACGAAAAATAGATATAAACATAAACGGCACTTGCATAACATCCAAAGTCCACATTAGTCACGCGACTAATCTGGAAAATAAACCTTATGTTAATCACATAAATGGTGTCAAACATGATAATCTGACTGTTAATTTAAGGTGGGTAAGGAGAATGCAGAACGTAAAGTATTTCCGAATCGTGGTCATGATAACTCTAGGCGTATCATGCAGAAAACATTGGATGGGGATGTTATTCGGATTTGGAATTCTATTCGCCTTGCTAGCAATACTTTTAAAGTTCCTGAAAATAAATTTTGAAATGTTGTAACAGAAAATGAGATACCGCTAGCGGTTGTATTATGAAAATTACATAAAACTAGATTCTGATGAAGAATGGAAAGAAATAGATTGATTTGCAAAAGTTTAGAGTTTCATCCTTAGGCAGAGTTCAGCTTCCGAACCCAAGGATCTTTGTGTACTGGCTATTACTGAATTGGTCATGTTCACATATATCGTGTTCATCATTTGGTGGCTTTAGCATTCTGTCCCAAAGAAGAAATTTGTAAACCAAATTGATAGTGATTTTACCAATAACAAAGCATCTAATCTCGAATGGTACAACATGCAGCGCATCTTAGGCCTCGGGACAGCTAGATGCATCAGCGTGCTGTTAAGCAGCTTTTTGATGTTGGATCTTTCGGAGAATTTCCATCCTTAATTGAAGCACAACGTATAATTGGGATTTCTCGATCAAGTATCGGAAAAGTATGCAGAGGATGCCAAACTCGTGCTGGTAGGTATCAATTGAAATATATGCACACAATAAACTTGGAATAACTCATTATATAAGATACTATTTAATAAAGAGTATATTAATAATTTTTATTTATAGTTTTGCGATAACAGATAAGATATGAAATTCGTGGTCTTGGAAAGGGAAAGATTAGTAAGGATACTATAAAAAATTTTATAATAATGGCGATTTAGAGGTAGTACTTTTAATAAATAGGTGCTTGGATAGATAGTAAAAATAATTTTAACTTAGCTAATAATACAGAGTAGCGGGAAGGAACTCTCATTTTATGGGTTAGGGCACGAGAAATTCCTCCCTTTAAACTCACTATTTCAATAATCATTTTCTACTTAGCCAGCCCAAGCCTATATATCTATAAAATTAATAAAGTTATATTGGTAATTTGATTTTTAAATGTGTTCTGATATTGTCATGCATAATTTATTTACAGGTTTGTATCACAGCTATAAAAAAATTTAGCCACATATATATTATTTTTTCTGTCAAGATATAACAATGAAAGATCAAAATAATATGTTTACAAATAAAAAGTCAAAATTACTTCAAAAAGTGAATAGAGGATGGGAGTATAGGTGTAAGGTTTGCAACAAATGTGATCATCATTCACTATATTTTAAGACATGTAAGTGATATGAATGTGAAAATTCTAAAAATAAACCAGAGTTAACGGTTTGATATAATAAAAATTTTATTTGTCATTTTATATTAAGGATTTTATAATTTATTGCAAGGTGCAATATATTGCACATCTATAATAATTGCATCTCTAGAATAATTAAGGTTAGAGTTAGGGTTAGTGTTAGTATTCGGGTTAGGTAAAATTGCAAGAGGATCATTTTTTGTTAGTTATACAACAGGGTTACCCTAGTAAAATTCTAAGATATAGTAGGGGTACAATACATTGCAGGTGCAATAAAAAATTAAACTCTTATATTAATTCAAAAAATACCTACAAGATTAAGACCTGATGTAACTTATTTATCTCCAGAAGAAATTCATGATATTATCACTTCTAGAAATGTACCAATGCTGTGCAAGTTTTATTAAAAAAATATTACATATCATATACATGCATCTATAGAATTTGGAAATTCGCTATGTTTTTATATTGATTATAGTATGAAAATTAAATAAATTACCATTAATGTGTTAGAATAAATTCCGCAAAAAATGAAATTTATTTGTATTACTTTACAAGGAAGCTTATACCTGACAATCATGTGAAATGTTTCAATTTTCATATAAATGCAATTAACTAATGAAATTAATATATTTTGGCATTCTTGCAATTAACCAAACAATTTGGACTGGCAAATTCTCGATTTTAATTGGCTAAAAGCAACGATCAAAAAATTAGGCTGGAATTACTTATAATTTTACTAATGAAATCATAGCTGCCTATTAAGTAAAAATTATTCCTGAGTTAATTTTATCATAATGCAAGCTTATTTTTAAGAATTTCTATTTTTGTAATGAAAAATTAAAAAGTTAATTCTGGCTGGAATTTAGTAAACAATTTTGTAATATGGGCCAAAATTTTGAAAATTCTCAGTTATTAGCCAATCAAAATCAAGGATCTGCTAGTCCAAATTTGTTGTAGCAGCTATAGATTATATACAGTACCAAAAGCATGGTATTTTTTAAAATGCTAAAACTTTTTAAAAGCAAATTTTTTCAAAAAAACAGATCGACAAAGTTATTAGTTAATTTTTTAAAAAAACTACTTTTATAAAAAGTTATATTTGTTTAAAAAAAACCCTCAATCTTCAAATCAGTATGACTCTTTATAGAAAAATTCTTTAAAAACCAATAACTTTATAGTGCTTAGTTCTATATATAAAGTATCAGTCACTTTTTTTTAAAAAAACTTGTTTGTAAAAAGTTTTAGTATTTTAAAAAAATACTATACGGGGTTAGAGTCTTGTAGCCTAGTAGTTTAGATGCCTAACTCTTCACAAATGAGGTCAATGTTTGATTATAGCTAGTGGTAATTAATTTAATTAATTATTTTTGTAACCTTTGAAAGCTTTCAAATACAAAACTCTGTGGCAGTATGTATATATTTGGCCAAGAAATAATTCTTGAAAGAAACCTGAGCCATAGAGAAAATGAGCACTAAATATGATATAGATCACAAATAGTAATACTGCAGAAGATTGTGTATGTAAATCTTAAAGAGGTGGTCCTTAAGTAGCACCAATATCTGGTAACAGACTTGATTAGAAGGATGGCATAAAGTGATATATCCAGAAGTAGTAAGAAAAGTAGTAAACACAGTAAAAGGCTGTAGTAAGAGAATGGCTTTACTAAATATAGAACACCTCTGACACAAGGAAACAAGAAAAACTGGCTAAAAGAACCCCAAAAAGCATGAAAGCAAGCGATCCAGTAGTATGAAAATAAAGATAGCTAGTGAGTAATATGTTGCACAACCTATATAAAGCCAATAATGAAATATGGCAGAAGTGCGAGTTCTGGGTTACTGGCTTGTAATAGTAATTAAATAAGGTACTTAACTCTCATCCTAAGGATCTAGACTTCTGTAACACTATACTAATAGAGAGTACATAAAAGGAGTGATAGCTTAATTTGGTAGTGTACAACACAAATACCTGGATCAATGTAAAATAACTCCTCTAATAGTAGCAACAAGTGGCTTAAAATACAGGTCTTATAATGATAGCAGTATCTGGCTTGAGATACAAATTAAAACTTAAAGTAGCTTCTCTAGAAATACCAAACCGAAAGCAAGAAAAGCATCTACTTAAAAGACACAAATTTGGAAGTAATACAAGAAATAAATTAGAAATAATATGATAAGTAATAAGGAGTAGAATTGGTTAGTAGGCATTATACAGTAGTATATAAGCAGGATATATATAATACAATAGGTTTGGGAACTATTTGGTGATTTAGAAACTGGTCTAATTGCAAAACAGTTTATAAAGAGGTAAAATCCCATATAGCAGATCACACAAAAGTACTTAATTAGTAACTGGGTAAGCTAATACTGGTAATTAACATTAGATAGTTATAACTATACTTGTGATATTCGTAACCAAAATACCTTAACATAAGTCTAATAAACAGTATTGGCAAAGGTGTGGTGACTTAGTGTAGTGGTCTAGTCATCACCCTTTCCAAGTGGCAGGTCTAGAGTTCAAATCTCACAAACGACAAATTTTGAAAATTAGCCTGTGCTACGGTTTATGGTTGTTGATTATCGGTTGGATCTAGAAATCTGTAATCTCGGTCATACTATCTAGTTATGGGAGCTTTGGCGCAATAAATCCAAGGAACCGGAATAATCGAAAACTCATTTGGCAAGTCCCGAGTTTGGAGGTAGTAGTGATCTATGATGGTACGACAGGAGAGCTGAATTTGAACCGGGGCCCGAGATCAGAGAACCAAGCGATAGGTTCTAATGGTGGAGGACACACTAGCCGAACCACTGGGTTGTCGTACTGGAGAAAAAGGACATACGCTCTGAAAGTATGGACCAAGGGGAGGGTGTCCTCCAGGCATCTAAAGCCTGGGCAGACCAACCCTTCCGGGTTGCCGGCTGGAAGTAAGGAGGGACCAATAAAGAATCCGGATAAAAAGACGGTCTAAATGTGGGGTATTGGGGTTGCTAGGAACCAAAACAAGGGCAAGGAGTACGTAATGGGCACCTAGTTAGGAAGGTTGGTGCTTGAGAAATGTCTGTAGAACGGCAGCACCCCAAAAGGTGGCGTGAGATACGAATACGGAACGGCAGGTCA